TGACACATGCACATTCGTAATATTCTCTTGCAGTGCCATACCGGGGCATGCTCCGTTCATAGAGCACTGTCAGAGATAACTAATTTACATACTTTCTGTGACCTTGGCTGAAATAGTATGTTCGCTAAAATAAAAAGAAGCAGAACCAATATTGCATTTCTATTTAATCTTCATTCGCAATTGCATGCTGCAACATCTCAGTAAAGTTGATTGTCAAGTTTTACTTTTTAACATATGGTTTATGATCCCAGTAGAATTTATGCTATTCTTGCACTAAACATCAGGTTTGTGTTTCCAAGGCTGGATTTGTGTTGTTTTCAGACACTCCATATTAGTGGAGGGTTTCTGTACCCTCTGGAGAACATTCCAAACACTGGTTACATGTACTACTGTGCAGATGATTCCATCTGTTTCTGTGTGTGTACAACCATCTTTACAGCTAAACTGTAGTGATTTTAAACTAGGTATGCATTTATTATTTATATCAGGCATATATTTTGTTGATATCAAAGTCTGGACAGTAAGGGGGCTCTGGCAACACTTTTAAACTATTATTCCACAAGGGGCTATCAAGCAATAGGATTACTAAGGCAAATGCGATCATAGAAAAAGCGCCATTTTATTAATAGCATGCCATTTGCAAAAGTAGACAACTCAAGGTATTGCAAATGGAGTATGTTTAGTCTTTTTTTTAGTACCCACTTAGTCACAAACACTGGTCAAAGTTAGTGTTCATATTTGTGTGTGAAAAATGCAAAAAACTAATTTAATCCCTTAAGGACTGGACTGTTTTTGCGATGTTGTACATTTGCGACGAGGCCTCTTTTTACACTTTTGTGGTGTTTGTGTTTAGCTGTAATTTTTCGCTCTCTCATTTACTGTTCCTATACAAATTATATATTGTTTTTTTTCAGGACAAAAAAGGCTTTCTTTACATACCATTATTTATATAATCTCATGTAATTTAATTTAAAAAAAATATGATGAAAAATTGAAATAAATACATGTTTTTTGACTTTTACTTGAAAAATCTTTTACTCATCTACAAAAGCGAATAAAAAAAACGGCTAAATAGATTCAAACTTTTTGCCGTGAGTTTTAAAATAGCCAGGGTTTACGTGCTTTTTTTGCAAGTTATAGGGCTATAGGAACAAGTAGGATATTGCGGTTTCAAAACATAATTTTTTTCAAATTTATCAATAGTGACTTTATAACACTATTATCTGTCATAAATCTCTGAATAACACCCCACATGTACATATTTTTTTTTTTAAAGTAGACAACCAGGGTATTCAATATGGGGTATGTCCAGTTTTTTTAGTAGCCACCTAGTCGCAAACACTGGCCAAAGTTAGTGTTCATATTTGTGTGTGAAAAATGCAAAAAACTAATTTAATCCCTTAAGGACTGGACTGTTTTTGCGATGTTGTACATTTGCGACGAGGCCTCTTTTTACACTTTTGTGGTGTTTGTGTTTAGCTGTAATTTTCCGCTCTCTTACTGTTCCTATACAAATTATATATTGTTTTTTTTCAGGACAAAAAAGGCTTTCTTTACATACCATTATTTATATAATCTCATGTAATTTAATTTAAAAAAAATGATGAAAAATTGAAATAAATACATGTTTTTTGACTTTTACTTGAAAAATCTTTTACTCATCTACAAAAGCGAATAAAAAAAACGGCTAAATAGATTCAAACTTTTTGCCGTGAGTTTTAAAATAGCCAGGGTTTACGTGCTTTTTTTTGCAAGTTATAGGGCTATAGGAACAAGTAGGATATTGCGGTTTCAAAACATACATTTTTTCAAATTTATCAATAGTGACTTTGTAACACTATTATCTGTCATAAATCTCTGAATAACACCCCACATGTACATATTTTTTTTTTTTTTAAAGTAGACAACCAGGGTATTCAATATGGGGTATGTCCAGTTTTTTTAGTAGCCACCTAGTCGCAAACACTGGCCAAAGTTAGCGTTCATATTTGTGTGTGGAAAAAAGTAAAAAACTAAATTGAATGCTAATTTTGGCCAGTGTTTGTGACTAAGTGGCTACTGGACATACCCCATTTGCAATACCTTGGGTTGTCTTCTTTTGCAAATGGTATGCCATCATGGGGGTAATTCTCATTCCTGGGCTACCATACGCTCTCAAAGGCAACGTAACCAACTTTCAATGTAAAAATATTTGACCCTGTAACTTTCAAAAACGCTATAAAATCTGTACATGGGGGGTACTGTTATACTCGGGAGACTTTGCTGAACACAAATATTAGTGTTTCAAAACAGGAAAACGTATCACAACAATTATATCATCAGTAAAAGTGCTGTATTTGTGTGAAAAAAAGTCACTTTCACTGACAATATCATCGCTGTGATATGTTTTACTGTTTTGAATCACTAATATTTGTGTTTAGCGAAGTCTCCCGAGAAAAATGGTACGCCCCCCATGTACAGGTTTTAGGATGTCATAGAAAGTTACAGGGTAAAATACAGTGCTAGCAAATTAAATTCTCTAGACTTTTGGCCTGGGTTGGCAGGCAGCTCCCTCAAATTGCAATTAATAAAATTACTTAATTATGTAAAAATATTACATAAATACTAATGTAGAATTTAAATATATATGCATATTTATATATTTGAAGTCTACGTGTATATTTATATAATTATTTATGTAATTTTGTATATGGACATATGTATATTTCGATTCTTTTTATTTATATATACATAGATATATACAATTTCATTCTAAGTGTATTTTGATATAAATATATATATTTTAATATCAAAATACAGTTAGAATAAAATTTCATATAGATATATTTTTAATTTTTTTTTTATTTAATTTAATCTACTTATTATTTGTATTTTATAATAATATATACAATATATATATAGTTATATATATTATATATATACTTGTGTAATTTAATTATAAGTGTATTTTTATATTAATATATGTACATATTAATATAAAAATACACTTAGTATGACATTATATATATGATATATAGACATATATTATATAAATATAATATATGTCTATATATCATATGTATATATACACATATATAATTTTTTTTTTTATATTAACATTAACTTAATTTTTTTTAATGATTTTACACTAGCAGGGAGATTGCCTGTCAGCACAGACAGTCCCCCCGCAGGCAGACACATGGACACCTATTGCGACCATGTGACTGCTCTGTTGAGCGATCACATGGCCACAGGGGTCCTAATTCTCCATGGGGAGACTGTTTGGACTGCAGGCAGTCTCCCAACACCGGGAGCACCGCCGATCGCCGCCGGGGGAACAATGGCGATCGGGTAAGTACATAAGACTGTTAGGACAGTTCAGGACCGTCACCGGTCGGCAATGGAAAAATGCAGATGACGGTCCTGAACTGTCCTCGGTCGTTAAGTGGTTAAACACTAATTTTGGCTAGTGTTTGTGACTGAGTGGCTACTAAAAAAGACTGGACATACCCCGTTTGCAAAACCTCGGGTTGTCTACTTTTGCAAATGGTTTGCCATCATGTACTTCTCATTCATGGGCTACCATATGGTCTCAAAGGCAACATAACCAATTTGGCAAATTTCAATGAGAAAGGGGAGGGGAGTGGGGGTTGGGGGATTTCAAAACCGTAAAATGTATCACAACGATGATATGTCAGTAAAAGTGTCATTGTGTGTAAAAAATTTAAAAAACATCACTTTCACTTAAGATATCATCGTTGTGACACATTTTTCTGTTTTGAAACACTATTTGTGTTCAGTGAAGTCTCATGAGTATCCAGTAACAGTACCCCCATGTACATGTTTTATAGTGTCTTGGAAAGCTACAGGGTTTGCAAATGAAATTCTCTGGACTTTCTGTCTGGGTTGTCAGGCAGATCCCCAAAATTGTAATTAACCCCTTAACGCCGCAAGACGGCATGGTATGCCCTGTGGACCCACCCGCGCCGCTATACTTACCTGGTGGGTCAATCAGCGGTGCTCCGATTCGGGGGGAATGCCTGACAACCAAGGCAGTCCCCTGCAGGTGATCAGGCCCCCCTAGGCCATGTGATCATGATGTAATCCCCCCCTGCAGGGGGACTCCTTGGGTTGTCAGGCATTCCTTTTAGTGCTGAAAAAAGGTTAAACACAACATTACCCAAGTGCTAAATAAAGGTTAACACACACATATTTCTGAAACTATATGTATATATATATCTATATAAATTAAGTACATACCAAATAAGTTGTGGTGGGGAAAAAGTGTGGATGAAAACCCCTTCCACCTGAAATAAATGGATAGTTAATGCAAAGTTTTCATCCACACTTTTTCCCCACCACAACTTATTTGGTATGTACTTAACAAGTAACGCCAAGGCTCCATAGCAAGTTAGAAACCTATCTCATGCTGATGAGTTGAAACAACAACGAAACAGCTGTCCATGAGTGGTTCACTGGCACTGCACCTTTTCCTGAGCTGTGTTTCACAGCTGTTATATACAGCAGACACATACTCCAAGGAATCCATGTATAAAGTGGAATTTTAAGACAAAAATGTGGTTCTTTGTTTAGCTCATTTGCATATGCCTACCAAGAAACCCTTGCAGTAGTGAGAGCACTGTTAATGTGACAGAACAGCATAATCAAGCAATTCAATGTCATACATGATATATAAAGGCATGGCTGGTAGTTAATATGCACTTTTAAAAAAAAAATCTTTATTTTGTCGTGCATGTATGATACAACGGGGCAAGCAATACCACAACAGCTATTGCTAGCATAATAATCAACATTTAGAGACAGTGGTATGCATGTGGGTCTGCTGACTTGCATAATGTGTTACACGAGTGACCAAAACGTGAAAACTAAACAAAATGCTTTCTATTCAAACGGTAATATTGTTCACATGTTAAAGGTATGGGCTTTTTGCAAATTCAGATGTGTGGTGGAGGCAAGTCAAAGGCCCTGTGTCCCAGAGTGTCCCTCAATGCCTCCAATTTTCAGCCTAAGCCCTCCGGGGTTACTGCCCAGACCTGTAATCCACATAGGAGCTCATCCAGCACAGATCCCAGTCCTGAGAGCCCTGATGCTAGGTTTCTCTGCTTTTGCTCGTAGGTACATGTTGTAAAGTGACCAGGTCTGCTTGTCTGTGTCGATCGGGTCTGGCGTGGGTCGGAGTGCAGGCTCTTCATGGCTTTGGCGCCGGGCTTTGATTTGGGCTGGGAGGAGACCAGCTTGAGCCTGCGTGGGATTTTGTTAGCATTCAGGTGTAGGTGCCATGCGGGTTTGTATGTTGATGGGGTGTTGCGCTGTCTTTGGCGCCATTTTCCGGCTTGCTGTTTTCGGTTTGTGTTGCCGCTGAGCAGTGCGCGAGAGGGCAGAGCCATCGATAAGTGCCCGACCTGAGTGTTTGCAGTAGCCTGTCTTTCTGTTAGCATTTAGGTGTAGATGTCATGCGAGTTTGTATGTTGATGGGGTGTCGCGCTGTCTTTGGCGCCATTTTCCGGCTTGCTGTTTTCGGTTTATGTTGCCGCTGAGCCGTGCGCGAGAGGGCAGAGCCATTGGTAAGTGCCCGACCTGAGTGTTTGCAGTAGCCTGTCTTTCTTCTAGTTTGCACAAGAAGGCTTCGAATAAGGCATCCAGTCTTGCCAGGATATCAGCCTCTTGCATTGTGGTGAGTGACTCCGGGCTAGTCGCTGCCATTTTGGGGTTGGTTCGACTTGGCTTGGATTGCCAGCACCCCCTTACATACACACACAGCACCCCCTCACACACACACAGCACCCGCTCACACACACACAGCACACCCCCCACACACACAGCACCCCCCTCACACACACACCACCCCCTCACACACACAGCACACCCCTCACACACACAGTACACCGTGTATTAATAAAAACATAATTGTACATAATACATTTTAATTTTTGCTTCTTTGCCCTTTTTTCTCCGTTTGTTTTAATTATGTACAACATTTGGACACTTTATTATGGACTCTATTTGAATGACCAATCATATCCTGCAAGAGAGAACCGGCCCATCCCTCACTTAGATGACGCAAACCGGAAGTGACGTTTTTCAGCAGTATATCGGAAGTCCGCATCAGAATGACGAAAACGGAAGTGACGTTCCGGCGGGATACCGGACCGGAAGTCACATGATCAGACGTGTACATCCCGATAGAGCGGCCATTGGAAGGAGGTCATTCAACATTAATTACAGAGGATAAGGACTCCATGCTGGGAGGGGAATGATAACCGGAACTCCCATACAAGGACTTGGGTGGGCGGGATTTTTTGCACTTTTCACATGTGTTTGTTATTTTTTAATTGTTGTAAGGTATATAAGCATGTTACCTGTATGCACCATTATTGCACCTGAGGAAGACCAGGGGAGTTGGTCGAAATGCGTTGTGCCTGTTCAGATTTTATCTTCAATAAAATATTTTATTCATATTTTATTTTGGTTCCTGATTTTATTCAGACAGATTCTGATTCCTGTTCCTGGGGGACCATTCCAACTACAACATCGTTTGTGGAATATAACTACAGTAGAGAGCCGACTTATATCGCTCTCTAGAGTGTGAGTGCTCCTAATTATCTTTATATTATTTGTTGGGTTTATACATATTGCCCTATGAAACTTGTTTGTATTGCAGATTATAGCATCACTCATCCATTGTGTGCGCAAAAACCGCCTCCTCTTTTATCCATTTGTATTCAGCAGTGTGTGTATTCAGCAGTCTGTATGTATTTAGCAGTCTGTGTGTGTGTATTTAGAAGTCTGTGTGTGAATGTGTTCAGCAGTCTGTGTGTGAATGTGTTCAGCAGTCTGTGTGTGAATGTGTTTAGTAATCTGTGTGTGAATGTGTTCAGCAGTCTGTGTGTATGTATTTTATGTATGTATTGCATTTGTTGGAGATACTAATAAATATAAGCCTAATTTTATCTATAATTTACATTTTTATTCCTGTGAGTTGTGTGTAGGCAGGGCCCCAGTGCACTGCTTTGACCGGACGCCCATAATGTTGTTAAGATGGCACTGGTGGGTGTGTGGGATGTAGGGCTGTGAGGGAGCACTGACTTACGTGCTGTTCCAGCACTGCTCCCTCCGCTGATGCCGCTGGGAGACAGGAAATGACATCAGTCACCTCTGCCTGAGTGACTTAATTTCCTGTCTCCCGGCAGCATCAGCGGAGGGAGCAATGCTGGAACAGCATGTAAGTCAGTGCTCCCTTGCGCCCACACCACCTCACAGCAGCAGGAAGGAATCGGATCCACCAGGTAGGGAACCTGGGTGGACTTCAAACCCCCAATTATTTATGTGCTGGGAGGCAAAGGGGGATATGCTGGGGTAGTGAGGGGAGAGAAGAGGAAAATCTGGGGGAGAGAAGAGGAGATGCTGCGGGAAGAGAAGAGGCAAATCTAGGGAAGAGAAGGAGGCGAATCTGGGGCAGAAAAGGAGAAGAATCTGGGGGAGAGGAGTAGGAGATGCTGGGGGGAGAGGAGTAGGAGATGCTGGGGGAGAGGAGTAGGAGATGCTGGGGGGAGAATCTGGGGAGAGGAAGAGGAGAATCTGGGGGAGGAAAGAGGAGAATCTGGGGGAGAGGAGGAGATGTTGGGGGAGAGTCCATAGTAAATTCATTCTTTATCTCGGGCTATTACTGCCTGGTAAGATATGGTCTTAATCCAGCTAATTAAGCAGGTCACTCCTTCCGCATCGGTGCCACCACCAATACCTCCAGGAAGTATACCGGTACATAATATTGGGAACTTGGGACGCTGGAGGTCCTCCACTTACTTCAGATACATTCCTCAACCTGTTATGAAACTACGCCATGCCTTCCGTATTATGAATATGTAATACATTGTAATATGCTTAACTTGTAGGCTGTATTATCCTGTATGGTATACTCATTTTTGCCCTCTTTTATTACAGGCCCATCGTATCGTCGGTTCCGGCACACCACTATGGCGATAGTAACCTTGCCACTTGTACTTGGAGGGGCCTGCTTGCCAGCCTCCTGCCCACAAACTATGGGCCCTGCAGGGAAACCTGTAAAAGACTACCGAACTTGACCGACTGTTAGCACTAATTTCCCTGGAACTGGGCAACTGGGCAAGACCATGTGCGCGGTCGGTCAAAACTATGACTTCCAGGAAATTCCTGAACTCCTGAACCGATCTCGGTGATTTTTAGATATGTTGTTCACCCAGATCGGGGCTATCATGGGATGTAACTTTCATGGGGTTTTATGTGTTTTTAAGGTACTGTTTGGGGTTTCATAAAATTGTATGTGTGGCAAACCTAGCCACTTGGACAATAACTAGAGACTGGGCCTTTAAGGGTTGCCAATAGGTCGGGCGAGATATGCGCTTTATACTTATGTATATGTTAATGTATTTTCTGTGTTACCTGTACTGCTGTTTCCGCCGAATGCAAATGGCGGTTTTGTATGGGGATTTTCCTTCGTTTCACGAACGGCACTTTAGAAGCCGTTCGTGAACCGAACGCGATACCCTCAAATAGCCCACACACTTAGAGGCGTGTGGCGCTAGTTAACCGATTGCAACATTGTTGCAATCGGTTATTAGAGGCTCTCCTGGGTGGCCGTCGTTCGACTACCGACCATGCGGCGGTCGGCCATCTTGGATCCCTCGTTTGTCAGCGGGTCCGTGTCGTCGAACGCGTACCATTACCAATGGTTATTCGACGGCACGAACACCGCTGAGCCTCCCAGACGTTCGGGAGTTTCAGGACCAGGTTCACGAAAAGCAATCGGTCCTTTTTGTAGGTTTTGAAAGAAATGTGTTTTCTGTGCTGCGTTCGGTTATTTTGGCTGGGATCTGAGCGGCAATCTCACGAATGATGCGCCCAGACCCCAACTAACTACCGAACGTCCATTCGTGTAAATCCACCGTATATTTTAAAAGTTATGCATTTTTATATGAATTGCCAGTTCTGCTGCACGAGGGGATAATCCCCTTTACGGTGCATTCTGGGAGGATGATCCCTCTCGTGCAGCAGTGCCTGATGGGAGAAATATGTCATACTGTAAGTCCCCCATGTAGTCCCCTCTGGGAGTGCCCCTGGGAAAGGACTCAGGAAACCCCTTGCATGGGGACTTGTATAAATTGTCGTGCCGATTAAAGGATTGTCAGTTGACTCCCAAAACTGTGTCTCGTCCGGTTATTGGGAGGTTGGGGATATTGCCTTGGTGTTTTCAGCGCTTGACTGTGGATTAGTTTCTGGACCAGCGGAATTCGTGGATTTTATATTGGCGTTCCGCTACAATTGGTGGGATCCAACTCTACAGCCGAATACAGCGCATTCGAATGAAAGGAACAACCGAACGGAAAGGCAATTCGTATGAAACAAGCAGACGAAAGCGATCAGTGAATGGGGACTGATTACACGGCGTTAAAGAGACAGACGCTAAAGGAACTGCTGGAGGCTAGAGGGAGAAGCGCTAGCAACAAATCGAAAGCAGTCCTGATTGCAGAACTAATGGAGGGCGACCAGGCACACAGCAGTCCACCCCCACCTGCCAGAGAGGAAACACCATACCAGAGGGAACTGAGAACCCGGCTGGAATTTGTACCACAGCCAGTAACCCTGGACATTTTAACCGTGCTAATGGCCGACGTCCAGGACTACATTATGGCACAGCAACCCCAGAGGTCACCATCCAGGGCGGAATCCATCGTCAACTCATTCTGCCCTCCAACAAAGCAGAAAATACCGTACCAGGCATTTAAAACATTCTGCGAGGAGAAGGATGAGATAGACGGATATCTGCAGGATTTAGAGAGGCTATGCGACCTGCACGACCTGGAACCGACCATGTGGGTACCCTTACTGGCAGGCAAGTTGGCAGGACGAGCAGCAGAGGCTTACCGCGCTGTACCCAGAGAGGACAGCAAAGACTACTTTAAAGTAAAAAGAGCAATCCTAGAAAGATATGCCATAACCCCAGAGGCATACCGACGGAAATTTCGGGGATTGAAAAAACCTGACAGAGATTCCCACGCAGAATGGGCGCATAAGCTGGACCAAGCTTCACAAGGGTGGATTCAGGCAAGTCAAGCCACCACCATGGAGGAACTGCGCCAACTCATCTTGCTGGAGCAATTCTTCAACGGTCTGTCACCAGAGGCACAGGAGTGGGTAAGGGACCGAAAACCTCTCAACCTCACAGCAGCTGCCCGATTGGCAGACGAACACTTTGACGCCCCGGAGACACCATGGGCTCACCAACAGGGGTCCCCTAAGACCGCCAATACAACAGCACCCAGCCAGCTCCACACCCGCCAACTCTACCCCCTTCAGGCCACCACCAGGAAACCCCCCACCGCCAGCCCGCTACAATGGCAGGGCCAACATACAATGCCATACCTGCCGGCAGTGGGGGCATATGTCCCGGGAGAGCACCCAGAATCGTAGCAGGCAGGCGTGGAACCAGGTACGGCAGAATTCCGTTCCCAGGGCGGCGGCCCATTTCTACCACGCAGAACCTGACCATTCGGAGCTGACAAGTGTACCAACCGAGGAACCATTGGGGGTTCTGTACGAGGTAATGTCTGTGCAAGCCACGGACAACCGGCAGCATCACCGCCAAGTTGTAATTGTGGGAGGGAAAGAAGTGCAGGGGCTGCGGGACTCGGGAGCCACCTTAACCTTAGTGGCCCCCCATCTAATTCCGGATACGGCCCACACTGGCGGATCAGTGGCAGTTCGGGTAGCAGGGGGAGCCATGTACCGGTTACCCACGGCCAAGGTGCATTTGAATTGGGGTGCTGGGGAGGGGGTTGTGGAAGTGGCCATAATGAAAAAGCTACCGGCTGATGTTGTTTTGGGGAATGACTTGGGCCAGATGACTTCTGCTTTTCTACCCCAGGCCCCGTCACAAGAGGCGCATCCGGTAACCACCCGGCAACAGGCTCGCACCACGGCATTCCCCGCACACTCTGAGGCTCAGGTAAGAAATCATGACCCCCCCCTTGACAGGCATGACTTGGGACACCCCGTCCACGTTCGAAGTAGAGGTACAGACCGACCCCACACTGCAGGTATACCGGGATAGGGTAGATACGGACCAGGTGGGGCAGGAGGGAGAACAGTACAGGTGGGAGAAGAAGTTACTATACCGGGTGGCGGAAAGGGCAATAGGCAACTCTGTGATGCTCCAAACTAAGCAGCTAGTAGTGCCCCAGAAGTATAGGCAGGAGTTACTAAGAATCGCCCATGATATCCCTCTGTCCGGCCATCTAGGGATGACCCGGACCCGGTATCGCTTAACGCACGCATTCTTTTGGCCCGGGATTTCTAAAGACGTGAGGCAATACTGTACCTCCTGTGATGTGTGCCAGAGGGTAGGCAAGAGAGGGGACCGCCACAAGGCAAAACTGTGTCCCCTACCTATCATTGAGGAACCATTCAGCCGTGTGGCAGTGGATATAGTAGGGCCACTACCAAAACCCAGCCCTTCTGGGAAACGGTATATCCTGACTGTGGTGGATTACGCCACCCGGTACCCCGAGGCGATTGCCCTCACTAATATACACGCCGAGACCGTAGCTGAAGCCTTGATGAAAATATTCTCCCGAGTAGGGTTCCCACAGGAAATGGTCTCCGATAGGGGGACGCAATTCACAGCTGAGGTTACTCAGCAATTATGGAGGATATGTGGCATTAAGCCGATCATTAACTCCGCCTACCACCCGCAATCCAATGGATTATGTGAGAGATTCAACGGCACCCTAAAACAGATGCTCCGGACATTTGGAGAGACCCATAAGGACTGGGAACGATTCCTTCCCCATCTGTTGTTTGCATACAGAGAGGTACCCCAAGAGTCCACAGGTTTCTCCCCATTTGAGCTATTGTTTGGGAGAAGAGTCCGGGGGCCGTTGGATCTCATTAGAGAGCATTGGGAGGGGGAGAGTAGCGCAGATGGGACCCCAATTGTACCCTACGTGCTGGCGTTCCGGGATCGCCTGGAGGAATCGACCCAGGCAGTGCGCACCAACCTCCAGGCCGCCCAACAACGACAGCGTCGTTGGTATGACAGAGGGGCCAGAGACCGTAGTTTTCAAGTGGGGCAGAAGGTGCTAATCCTTAAACCTGTCCGCACCGATAAACTACAGGCCGTCTGGCAGGGCCCATACCAGGTGGTAGAGCAGAGATGCGATACCACCTATGTGATCGGCCCATGCTCCGGAGTAGGGAAGAGACGCATGCTCCATGTGAACATGCTCAAACCCTACCACGAGCGGACGGAGGACGTGGCAGCTATCTGCACGCCCGCCTCCGAAGATCAGGAGAACCTGCCCCTTCCAGATCTGTTAGAGCAGGAGGAGCAGAAGGAACCCTCCCAGGGGGTTCAACTGGGGGAGCGGCTAAGTCCTCAAGAGCGTATCCAGGTACAAGAACTGATAGCAACCAAGGGCGCTGCCTTTTCTAACCTACCTGGGTACACTCCACTAGCCACCCACCGAGTAGAAACCCCGGGACAGCTTCCCATGCGACAGACTCCCTATCGGATTCCCGAATCCGTGCGGGAACATATGAGGAAAGAAATTGACGAGATGTTGCAGTTGGGGGTTATTGAGCACTCCGATAGCCCCTGGGCATCGCCGGTAGTCCTGGTTCCCAAGAAAGATGGTACCACCCGGTTCTGCGTGGACTACCGGAGGTTAAACGACAAAACTGTGTCGGACGCCTACCCGATGCCTCGGATAGACGAACTGCTTGATAAAATGGCCAGGGGTCAGTATCTCACTACCATAGATTTGTGTAAGGGATACTGGCAAATTCCACTAGCCGAGGACGCCATCCCTAAGTCGGCGTTTGTCACCCCGTTTGGCTTGTACCAATTTCGAGTCATGCCATTCGGGATGAAGAACGCCCCGCGACCTTCCAGCGGATGGTGGATCGGCTACTGGACGGGTTCCAGGACTATGCGTGTGCATATCTGGACGATATTGCCATATATAGTCCGACCTGGTCGGAGCACCTACAACACATAGGGGCCGTAATAGATAGGATTCAGGAGGCAGGGCTTACCTTGAAACCCAGCAAATGCCACATAGGGATGGCAGAGGTCCAGTACCTAGGACACCGGGTTGGTAGCGGGCAGCAGAAGCCTGAGCCCGCAAAGATTGAAGCTGTAGCCCAGTGGCCTACCCCTAGGACCAAAACCCAAGTCCTGGCTTTCTTAGGTACCGCAGGGTACTACAGAAAATTTGTACCCAACTACAGTGCCCTGGCCAAACCCCTGACAGATTTGACAAAGAAAAACCTGCCCCGGCAGGTCGTCTGGGCCCCAGAGTGTGAACAGGCATTCAATCAGCTGAAGACGGCTCTGACCAATGCCCCTGTACTGGCTGCTCCTGATCCAACTAAACGTTTTCTTGTTCACACAGACGCCTCAATGTTTGGATTGGGAGCAGTACTGAGCCAGGTCGGAGCCGATGGCGGAGAACACCCCGTGGCGTACTTGAGTCGGAAATTGTTACCCCGAGAAGTGAGCTACGCCGCCATAGAAAAAGAATGCCTGGCCGTGGTGTGGGCCCTGAAAAAGTTACAGCCATATCTCTATGGGCAACCCTTTTCTTTGCTCACAGATCACAACCCGTTGGTGTGGCTAAACCGTGTGGCTGGAGACAATGCCAGGCTGCTGCGCTGGAGTTTAGCGCTGCAGCCCTTTGACTTTACAATTCACTACCGCCCAGGGAAACAAAACGGTAATGCCGACGGGTTGTCCCGACAAACAGACCTTGAGAAATGATCTGTGAGCACTCCTCCGGACATCCCCAAGCCGATCCGTTGGGATCAGACTGTGTATGCCGGCTTGGTTCTGGGGGAGCATTGTGGCAAACCTAGCCACTTGGACAATAACTAGAGACTGGGCCTTTAAGGGTTGCCAATAGGTCGGGCGAGATATGCGCTTTATACTTATGTATATGTTAATGTATTTTCTGTGTTACCTGTACTGCTGTTTCCGCCGAATGCAAATGGCGGTTTTGTATGGGGATTTTCCTTCGTTTCACGAACGGCACTTTAGAAAGCCGTTCGTGAACCGAACGCGATACCCTCAAATAGCCCACACACTTAGAGGCGTGTGGCGCTAGTTAACCGATTGCAACATTGTTGCAATCGGTTATTAGAGGCTCTCCTGGGTGGCCGTCGTTCGACTACCGACCATGCGGCGGTCGGCCATCTTGGATCCCTCGTTCATCAGCGGGTCCGTGTCGTCGAACGCGTACCATTACCAATGGTTATTCGACGGCACGAACACCGCTGAGCCTCCCAGACGTTCGGGAGTTTCAGGACCAGGTTCACGAAAAGCAATCGGTCCTTTTTGTAGGTTTTGAAAGAAATGTGTTTTCTGTGCGGCGTTCGGTTATTTTGGCTGGGATCTGAGCGGCAATCTCACGAATGATGCGCCCAGACCCCAGCTAACTACCGAACGTCCATTCGTGTAAATCCACCGTATATTTTAAAAGTTATGCATTTTTATATGAATTGCCAGTTCTGCTGCACGAGGGGATAATCCCCTTTACGGTGCATTCTGGGAGGATGATCCCTCTCGTGCAGCAGTGCCTGATGGGAGAAATATGTCATACTGTAAGTCCCCCATGTAGTCCCCTCTGGGAGTGCCCCTGGGAAAGGACTCAGGAAACCCCTTGCATGGGGACTTGTATAAATTGTCGTGCCGATTAAAGGATTGTCAGTTGACTCCCAAAACTGTGTCTCGTCCGGTTATTGGGAGGTTGGGGATATTGCCTTGGTGTTTTCAGCGCTTGACTGTGGATTCGTTTCTGGACCAGCGGAATTCGTGGATTTTATATTGGCGTTCCGCTACAGTATGTTTTTTTGTGCTTGGAGATAATTGGGTTAGATTAGTACAGTTCCTGATTCAATTATCTCCCAAGCACAGAGGAGGAATTATATTGTTTATGTATGGGAGTGTCCCACTGTATAATGCGGTTTTCATTGGTTTGTTAACTTGTGTCCCCGTGCCCAACAAGGTCCACCTGAGTGTCACCCTTGTTGGGAAACTTGCATAAACGGCCAGTGGGCCTCCATTAAAATCGAGTTCCTGTTTTACCCTCAACATAGTCTCATCTCATGTGTGGGGGAAAAGGCTGTATCTACTCTGAGGATTTCTATATAACTATACTCCCCTGGGATTATTATCACTAGTTCTTCTAAGAGCTGTTCCTGCTACGCTCTCTGGAGTAGGAGAGGTTCACTGGATCCTGGTCTTGGGTCCAGGGTGGGTGGAGGACGGTGAGTTCCCAGCCAAGCTGTAACGCTGGACATGGGGACTGCAGTGCTGATGGTGTCTGGTGGAGTGCTGGAGTCCTTGGTGAGCACTAGGAGCATCCATCTGTGGAGGTACCCAACCGGGGTACAGGAAGCTCCGTTACAACCACAACCAACTTTTTTCATATTACTATATGTCTCATATAGGGACTTTACATGCCACCTTCTAATATGCTCTCATTACGACTTTTATGCCCCAACCACAAATTTATATATGTATTTTTCCATGTATAAGACTTTTTTTTTTTCTAATACACGGAATGTCATTGTAAGGGTTAAAAACAAAACACTTGTGCACGGGGGCCTAAGCCAGGCGCCTGCCCCATTTCAGTGTGCCACAGCCCACACACACACCTGGCCTCCCAACCCCGCAGTCCCATAGTGAGAACAGGTCAATATTATAGAAAAACTGAAGATGGAGGAAGATCCTGACATCTTATAATCTCGGACCATGTTGCGCTCGCTCCCAATTTGAACCCCATCTAGATCCAGATAATTGGCCCAGAGTGACATGAAGACTTTACATCACATGATTCACTTCTAAATGCTGTGGCAATGAGAAAGAGGTCCCTATATGGATGTGGAAGCTGCAGCAGATGTCAGCGCTTACCACCAACGGAGCTCCAGAGACATGCCATTCCAAAATAGGGACCAGCCATATTAAGGTATGCTCCACCTAAGGGAGGTTTTGCATTCTGATTTATATTTATGAGGGAGTAAATCAGGGAACAGAGGGAATACTGCTGTGATGTCAGAGCATGCCCTCACACCACCTGCTGTATAGTGGGAGCTGTAGTCTCCCAGCATGCAAATGAAGCCATTAACTTCACAGTGTACCGTAGTTGAGGGGAGGCATGAGAATCAAACGTGTTGTTCTCCTCAGAAGTCACCTCTAAAATATCAAAGTTGATCTATTTGATGTTTAAAATATTTATTTCTTAATTTTGGGCTAAAAAAATTGCGGTCATCTTATACATGGGGCGTCTTATACACGAAAAAATACAGTATATATTTAACATCATTCTAAGTGTATTTAAATATTACTGTGTGTGTGAATATATATAATGATACACCATTATTAAAAGTGTATTTTAATATTAAAGAGTACTTAGATCATATTATTATTATTATTGTTATTATTTATAAAGCGCTGTACAATGGGTGGACTAACAGACATGTAAATGTACCAGACAAGTTGGACGCACAGGAACAGAGGGGTTGAGGGCCCTGCTGGGTGAACTTACATGCTAGAGGGAGTGGGGTATAGTGACACAAAGGGTAAGAGTAGAGACAGTTGCAGGAAAGGGGTCAGAGGGAGGGGAGGGAAAGATTAACAGTTTAATTGATACGCTATCCTGAAGAAGTGAGTCTTTAATGTTTTTTTTTTTAAGGAATGGAGACTGGGTGAAAGTCTAACGGAGAAGGAAAGGGAGGTAGGAGTACCGTAAGAGGATAGACGTAGGTCTTCGGCAGAGCGTAGGGGCCTAGGATAGGTAGGTAGGTTGGAGGATACTCTAGGCACCCAGACCACTTCAGCTAATTGAAGTGGTACAGTCAGGGCCGGTGCAAGGATTTTTGCCGCCCTAGGCAAAAGAAAGATTTGACGCCCCCCTCCCACCCACCCCCAGTGACATCGCAATTCCCCACCCATATGATCTGCCCTATGAACTAACGCCAGTACTGCACACAGTGTGTGTTTACATTAAAAAGCCTGCAGGGATAAACTATAGACACCAGAACCACTTAAGCTGCAGTGGTTCTGGGGACTATAGTGTCCCTTTAATGTGAGGTAAATTAGAGATTAGTGTCACTAATAATATACTAGATTGCCTACTTACAATCAGATGAGGATGGTGATGGGCTCTGGCTGCAGTCTTGCTCCACTGGTCTGGTGTAGAACAGGATCTCTGGAGGCTGTTTGTAACTGTGGTCACAAAATTCAATGTTCTGGGAGAACGGGAAGCAGCTCCATTTTTTGGGGCCCCTTACACAGCTCAAGGTCTGGGCCCCAGGGCCTGACGGTGAGTATGCCCATAAGGCCCACCCATAAGTCCACCTACATGTTCCACCCATGAGTTCGCACACAGGGAGTGGGGTGTGTAGGGGATGTGTTATGTGTTACTGTAGAGTATCTAATGTGTGTGCTTATGGAATGTAGTGTATAGGGATACCAGTTTGTGTAGGTGATGCAGTGTGTTTGTGTGTAGTGGAAGCAGTGTGTTTGTATGTAAGGGATAGAAAACAGTGTGTGTTTGTGTATAAGGGATGTATTGTGTGTTTCTTGTTGTGTGTAAGGGATGCATTGTGTGAATCTGTGTTTGAATGCATAAGGGATGCAAAGTGTGTTTCTGTGTATGTAAGGGGTGCAGTATGTGTCTGTAAGGGATGCGTTGAGTGTGTGTAAGAGATACATTGTGTTTCTGTGTGTGTGTAAGAGAAGCAGTGTGTGTTTGCACGTGTGTGTAAGGGATGCATTGTGTGTTTCTGTGTATATGTGCAAAGGATGCATTGTCTTTATGTGTAAGGGTTGCATTGTGTGTGTGTGTGTGTAATGGATGCATTGTGTGTTTCTCTGTGTGTAAGGGAAGCATGTTGTGTTTCTGTGTGTATAGGGATGCATTGTGTGTGTGTGTGCGCGTAGTGTGAAAGAGCTCCCTGTCCTGCCCCCTGTCCTATAGAGCTCTCCCTTCCATCCCTTAGAGATCTCCCCTGCCCCTTAGTGGTCTCTTCTCTCCCCTCCACCTCCCTTAGTGGTCTCCTTTTCTCCCCGAATTTCCATTAGTGGTCTCTTGTCTCCCCCTTAGTGGCCTCTGCTCTCCTCTGCCCCCCCTTTCCATTAGTGGTCTCTCCTCTCCACCCACCCTCCCCTATTGGTCTATCCTCCACCCCCCCCCTCCCTTAGCGGTCTCTCCACCACCCCATCTCTCCTTTAGTGGTCTCTCCCTCCCCCATGTTCTCCTCAACCCCCCTCCTGTGTTTTCCTTTCATTCTCCACCCGTGTTATCCTCTTCTTCCCCCCTCACTGTGTTCTGCTCTTCTTCCCCCTCACTGTGTTCTCCTTCTTCCTCCCTCCCCCTGTGTTCTCCCTCTTCTTCCCCCTCCCTGTATTCTCCCACTTCTTCCCGTCTCCTGTATTCTCCACTTCTTTCCCCCCTCCCTGTGTTCTCCACTTCTTCCCCCTCCCTGTGTCTCTTCTCCTCTTCTTCTCCCCATCCCTGTAATCTCTTCTTCTCCCCTAATTTTCTTCTTCTTCTCCCCCTTCCCTCCTGTAATCTCTCCCCCTCTTCTCCCCCTTCTCCCTCCTGGTAATCTTTCTCCCCTCTTTTCCTCCCCCTCCCTGTAATCTTCTACTTCCCCCTCCTTTTTAATCTTCTCCAATCCCCTCCTCCTGTAATCTCCTCCCGGTAATCTTCTACTCTCCTCCTGTAATCTTCTCCCCCTGTAATCTTCCCTCCCCTCCCTCCCTGTAATCTTCTCCTCCTCCCATCTCCACCCTCTTCCTCACTGTCCCTCCTGTAATCTTTCTCCACTCCCCCCTGTCCTTTCCACTCTACCTCTCCCTCTCTAATCCCACTCCTCTCTCCTCTCTCTTCTTCCTCCTCTCCTCCTGTCCTGTAGCGTGGCCGACCAGTCGGCCGGACTGACAGGAAGTGCACACTCAGTGAGGCAGTGCGGCAGCCGCCTGAGCACTCTTTACAGAGCACTCAGGCGGCTGCAGCATTTAAAGGGCTGGCGATGGGGGTGCAGGGCACCCCCTCCTATATGGCGCCCTATGCGGCTGCCTAGTTCGCCTTATACGAAGCGCCGGCCCTGGGTACAGTGTCCCTTTTGCACTTAGTGCTGCAATGTTAAACATTACAGTTTTAGAGAAACTGCAATGTTTACATTGCAGCACCAAGTGTTCCTCCAATGGCTGTCTACCAGACAGCCACTAGAAGGCTTCCTGAATCGAAACAGACCTTTGGGCCGCTATCTGACGCTGGACGTCTTCATGCTCTGCATGAGGGCATCTGGCGTAAGATTTTTCCCCATAGAAAAGCATTGATTCAATGCTTTCCTATAGGGAGGTCTAATATGCGTGCAGCATTTGCCACACATGCACTTTAGCACCCGCTCGTCACAGGATGGAGGAGGAGCTTCGACCCAGAGCTGATGGACATCGGTGCTGGGATAAAGTAAGTAAGTAAATAAAGGGTTTTGTATTCCTGGCACTGTAGTATCCCTTTAAGCAAGCATCCGAATCTTAAATTGAGCCCTGTATCTTACTGGAAGCCAATGTAGTAACTGACAGAGGAGGGAAGGCGTGGGAGGTGCGGGCGGACAGGAAAATGATCCTCGCTGTCGCATTATAGACTGTAACGGGGCAAGTTGGAAACATGTAAGAACATTGAGAAGGAGAATGCAGTAGTCAAGTTGAGAGCAAAAGGCATGTAACAGGACCTTAGCCGCATCCGGCGTTAGGTAGGGTCGGATGTGCGCTATGTTTTTGAGATGGAAGTGGTAGAATTTGGCAATTGACTGGGCATGAAAGGCGAAGGAGAAGTCGCAGAAAACACCTGGGCAGTGAGTCTGCGTGGTAGAGGTGATGGTAGCGCTGTTCACTTAAAGGAACACTATAGGGCCAGGAAGACAAATATGTATTCCTGACCCTATAGTGTTAAAACCACCATCTAGCCCCTCTGCCCCCCCCCTGCCTCCCTAAATATAGTAGAATCCTACTTGTATTCAAGTCTGAAGTTGCTGCCTCTGCCCCTG